TTTTTTATTTGCTATAGGGTGTATGCACTCACCAGAAAGACAGAGATAAATAGAAAGACAATAAGTGAGAAATCACCCCCAGGGGGGATGGCCATGTCATAATCCCTTCTACTCCATTCTCCTCTTGGGATCTTGGGCACACATGCACATGCACCCGGCGTGAGTTTAAGCCACCAAGGTCAGGACTCGAACATCAGTTGACCACATGGGAGGCCAGCGACATACCCATTATGCTAAAAGCTGGTCCCAAAATATTTTAAACATTTTCAATCATGCTCAAATACACCTGTGCAATTAAGAACAAAGAATTAACAAATATCAGAAAATCACACATAAATTATATTGCAGGAAGAAAAAGAAACACAGTTTAAAGTTTGAAGACTCAACATTCTAATCAATTTCACACTTAGGCACCTCAAAATTTGTTGTCACACAGAATATAAAATCAGACAATTGTCGAAATAAAATGTGGGGGAACCAGTAGTTAGTGTAATGACTATGTCGCTGGACTCCCACATAGTCAACCGCGGTTCGCATCCTGGACCCGGTGGCTTAAAACTCACGCTGGGCACGTGTGCATGCGTGCCCAAGATCCCGAGAGGAGAATGGAGGAGAAGGGATTGAGGCATGACCCCCCCCGGGGGGTGATTTCTCGCTTTCTGTCTCGATGTCTCTCTCTGTCTGTCTGGTGAGTGCACGCACGCACCCTATAGCGAAAACCTCTCCAAAAAAAAAAAAAATGTGGTACTGGCAATTGTAAAATATGGAAAATTATAAGAAATAATGCTTCCATTTTTCCAATATATAAGGAATAAATATGGTTTGAATTATTCCATAAGTTTTATTCAATTTCAGGCATTCTAACAGTAGAAATTATTTTGATTTTTATTTCTACTAAAAATTAATATTTGGGAACCAGCAGTTAGTGTAATGGCTATGTCACTGGACTCCCATGTAGTTGACCACGGTTCGCATCCCAGACCCGGTGGCTTAAAACTCACGCCAGGTGCGTGTGCATGCGTGTCCAAGATCCCAAGAGGAGAATGGAGGAGAAGGGATTGCGGTGTGACCATCCCCCCGGGGGGTGATTTCTC